AATCAGTTTCAACTCGGAGTTCCTTTTTTGTAATGTGACAATAGCATGTACAAATGAAAATTAAATTGGAATTGATCTTTTGTTGACCCGAATGTGTTGCTGCCTACATCTTGTGGAGAGGCATTGCCAGATGTACAGTGAAGCCATCCATATCACTAACCCAGCCCTTCTGCTACTCTGCATCTGGAATCACTTCAGCACAGAAGTACTTCTCAACTCAAAGTTGGCTCTGTTTTGGCTCAGAAACTCTGTGGCTTCCACTGCAAATCAAACTATAAATGAAACTATAAATGAAACAGACATCAGTGAGGCCCCTGATGCATCTAGCACAGGACAGACCTGGTAAAGAGATCTGCTCTTTGCCACACCCGAGCTCCTTAGCTATGAGGTTAGGCCAATATTGTAAAAAAAAAACAAAATCCCTTGATGTCACCTGGTCTTAAATAGGCTATTGTATAATACAACACTAGAGTGTATTATTAAAACATATTTCACATTTGGCAATAATTTGCTTTTCTCATGCAGTCGTCTAATGAACAAGCTGAAACCAAGAAAAGAAAGGCAGGAGCCAAAGATGACAGCAAAAAGCTCAAGATGCAAAAGGCAGAGGAAAAGAAAGTTGGCCTGACACTTAACGCTCCAGTCAAATGTGTGGAAATTCTGCATGTTAAGGTAATCAATCTCCCAATAACCTATACAGTAGATATACAGTATTTGAATGGTTTTTTTTTTTACGTTTCATTTCCTCAGTGTTTTCTGCATATAAAAAAAAATAACACTCTTAAGCAACTTTTTTAAGCTCTTGCAGGATGCTCGTCTCAGTAACAGCTTGTGTGTGTTTTTTTCCCAGGATGTGAAGGAGGGCATGCTGATGCTAGGCTGTGTGAAAGAGGTGACAGACTTTGAGGTGACCGTCAGCCTGCCTAGTGGCCTGCAAGGCTTTCTCAGCATCAAGAACATCTGCGATTCATACACCAAGCTGCTGAGTGAGCAGCTGGACTCAGCTGACACAGAGGTTGGCCTATATAGTAATGAACAGAATGTTGTAGGAGATTTGAATTGTCTTGGTGTTGAGGACATTTCTGCTTGTGAGTGTGCAACAGTGCAATTCAGTCCACAATATTCATAAAATCTTTTAAAAAATCAAGACAACACTTCGCTCACATACTCAAAATGTGTTAGCTGACCCTCATACATAGTAACTCTGTATTAACTGTGTTTTAATTGTTGTGCAGCGTTTTGTGACTTTTAGGTCTGTGAAAAGTGCCATATTAATTACTTTATACTTTGTAGGAAATCTGCTCTTTGCCACACCTTTTCTACCCCGGCATGGTGCTCAGGTGTGTGGTTGCCAAGTTGGATGTAACGAAGAGAGGCTCGCTTAGCATCCAGCTGTCAATCAATCCAAAACTGGTCAACAAAAGTCTGACCCCGAGTGCACTGAAAACTGGCATGGTGAGCCGTTAGTGAGAGTAACTGTTTAAAAACATCCATCAAACCTGCATTTACAGAAATGGTTGTATCTTTTGTGTAGGTCTTGAGTGCGTGTGTGGAGAGCGTGGAGGATTATGGCTACATCATTGACATTGGTGTCAGTGGAACTAAGGCCTTTCTGTCTAAGGAATCCCTGAAATTCAAACACAACAATGCTCAAGGTATGGAAAAATAACTTGTTGCTCATTTTGGGAAACAGTTGTTTTGTTTTTCATGCATGATTTGGTTGTGTTTCATCAGGACATTGCAGATGTTTTCAGTTTTTATGAAACAAATGTAATCAGTTGTTTTTTTTAAAAAAGGATCTCTCAAGCATTTGTGGTTTCTCCACATGTACAGAGCTGAAAGTGGGTCAGTATTTGACTTCCCAAGTAGAAGAGGTGAAGAATGATGGTCGCATGGTCCAGCTTTCTGCTAACCCGACTACGACTGCTCAGACTTGTGCTGAACCCAAGCAGGGCTGGAACCTCACAACACTTCTTCCTGGCCTTCTGGTCAAAGCTACCATCAAGGAGGTAAAGACAGTGTTTTTATGTTATCCGCTATATATGTTCTGCTATTAAAACAACATGAAGCAATCACCAGTGAAATATAACCTCTGAACTGCATGTAAAAGCCAGTATGTTGGTATTGCAGGTGACCAAACACGGCCTGATCCTGGACTTCCTGTCCTCGTTTAATGGCCAGGTGGATTTTCTCCACATGGAGCCAGAACAGGCTTCCAGCTACACTAAGGGACTTCAGGTAAAGTAGACCTGGCATGTTTAACGCAGCGCCTATGATAAATGGGTGTTTAGAAATGTTGATGCCATGTGATCATTTGAGAGTACAAACCTCCTTTTGCATCCATCCATTCAGGTGAATGCGCGCGTGCTGTACATCGAGCCACAGACTCGTCTGGTGGGAATGAGCCTGCGCAGCCACCTTATTCATCTTGAGACTGGGATTGAGCCCTTTCCTGCAGGTAGGGAACGGATTGGAGAGGTGGTGAAGGAGTGCAAGATGACCGCTATGCACCACCTGTCTGGAGGAGTGTTGGAACTTCCGGACAAAACGTTGGCCTTTGTACATGTAAGTCAGCGTGATGCTTTGGACAAACTTTAACTTTTATAAGTCTTGTATTTATATATTTGTTCATCATAAGATGAGATTGAGATAATTGTATTGTCTGCGTTG